CCTCCTCCTCCTCCTCCCTATTATCTATCACCCTCCTCCTCCTCCCTATTATCTATTACCCTCCTCCTCCTCCTCCTTATTATATATTACCCTCCTCCTCCTCCTCCCTATTATCTATCACCCTCCTCCTCCTCCCTATTATCTATTACCCTCCTCCTCCTCCTCCTCCCTATTATCTATTACCATCCTCCTCCTCCCTATTATCTATTACCCTTCCCTTCGAATGAAAAGAGACATATTGTATTAGTACTGGTATCATCGCAAAATATCAGGGCTGTTAAACTGTTAAAGATATAATGATGGAACTTGAGGTATGCCTGCATCATCCACAGATTGAAGGTGTGCAGTATACTATAATAAAGTCACTGTGACCTTCACCTCAAGGTTAAAGGTTTAATAAGTGCAACATTTTCAGTAAATTCATATACGGCCCGTAAATTTGAAACCGTTAAAGATATGTTGATAAAACTTAAAGGATACCTGCATCACCCACAGAAGATGTGCAGTGTGCTACAGTTAGGTCTCGTGCCCCATTTTCTACAGAGTTTTGGCCCTTTGTTTATTTTGAATTCCCAAGTTTGTTCGGAGCATAACTTTATGCACTTATTGCCCTTTGTGGCAAACTGCTCATTCGACATCTGACGGGCATATCATGTACCGCTTCGCGTAACGCTTGTTAAACTTATATTTAATTCATTATGAGAAAGTTTCTTTAGTTTTGGGGGCGGATTTCATTCATTCAATATATGGCATTTACATTTAATCACAGACATTGGTTGTTTCCTTTTAAATTACTCATCATTGTACAACATTTTTCTTTTGTAGAAAACCAAGATGAGAAGCAACGAAAACAACAAGACATAGAGCGGAAGATGGAAGATAACCTTAGGAAAACTGCTGCCCATTTGCAGGCCATATCAGCATTTAAAGACCAGTTGCAGGTAAATACAACAAATGTTTTTGACAGGACAAACTAGCAGCATTAATAATAATAATAATTTGAGGTTCTTGTATACCGCTTTATCACAACCTAGTTCGTAGGTCGTCTCAAAGCGGTTCACAAATTATTATTTGTGGTTATAGGGCCTTTGCAACCAGTCAATATCGTTCTCAACTCCCTTGGAAGCATTGCAGGATGGCTGACTGAAAATAACTTTAAATGCACACAGAATTGTAGGAATCATCTTTTAAAAAAACATGTAAAAAAGGGAAAGAATTCTTGTTGAAGGAGTAATATGACTTTTGTTGTTTTTTTACCAAAGAGGAAAAACTACATAAATTGAGGGGGAGTAACTCCGATCTCTTTTAGTTCACATCCCACCAATTTAAGGCTTCTGAAAATTCAACAAAGGGACTTAACTTCCTGAACACTATTTATAAGTAACTAAGTGTCACAGCAATAAAAGAGACTGACTTCGTTCAATCATTTGTGTTGTTTTATTACTCCGAGAAGAAACATCACCGAGTACACGTATATAAGTGTATGGGAAAAAAACCTGAAATGTACAAAATGACTGCCTTAGTAAAAGTATTTTCCCGAAATATATATACATGGATACTTACCTTCATCGACTATCAAGTCGTGTCAGTGTCAATATATAGTTGTAGGATCCACGTGCGGACCCCGGAGTACGTCCAGTACGTTTATGTTGACTATATGTAGCTCCGGCTGTCTCTGCGCGATTCCGCGATTGTATAGTTGGTTTTATTCCAAGCTCACTCTCTTAACACACGACTTTCTCCCGTGTCACACCTGGACACGTACTCAAGACATCACCAAATATGGACAAACACCGACACTACCGGACAGGTTACACACCAAATATGGACATACACGTCAAGTTACGAAGAGTAACAAACGCTCATCGGACAGAACACAGACAATAGACATAGGGTCTTTCCCTAAAGTAAATAAATTGTTGCTCCTTTTAAAACATTAATACACGTCTTCCTATGTACTGCACCATTTTGAATGAAAATTGGTACAAATACCTTGCTATCACTTTCATGGAGTGGATATAAAATGGATATAGAAATTGGAATAACTAGCCATAATTATAGAGTTATGCTCCTTTTCTTATGGGTCTTAGTGATTGTATTATATTCGAGGTTTGAGCCCCAATCATTTAACTTGTGCACCTTTTGTAATTTCTCTAAAACTAAAAAACATGAAAATGTATACAAATGAAAGGGTGTTTTTTCTTGGAAACTTTTTGTTTTATAATTTCTTGAGTGTTGATTATGATATCGCCAAAAATCGAAAGTGAATTATAGACCTAAAAAAATCAACACAACAAATAAATACTGCAACAAAAACATAATAAGGGATCTCTAGCCATTATTCTTAATGTCACAAGGAATGTAAAATAATTATCTTTTAGAAATCTTTCTTTTTTAGGATATTACTGGTATGCATAATTATTGTCATTAATTTGATGAGACAAAACTGGTTAGGTATCTTGTTTATGTGATTACAAGCATGAGTTTATATGATTTTTATACATACTTCATAACATAAAAAAAATCACATTTCAGCCAACTACAGACAACACCCTGTATCCATCACCCGCCATGCAACAGATCACCCATCAAGAGTCCTGCCGAATCAACAGGCGACTTACCAGAACACAATGTGGCCAAACACAGGGACCTTGATGCCTCTAGAGTCAACCACATACAACACCTCCGTTGCACAGACAGTTGCCATACACATTTGGTGATCAGGAGTTTGTACGAAGGACTTTACATTTGCCATCTGTCAGCAGTGAGTCATGGGCCAGTCACTATTCGTCACCAAGCTTTGTGAGTAGAAATTAGTTCTCCTAGCTGATATCTTGGCCTTTACACTAATAAAGATAGGTTTGTTTAGGAGCATCATTGGACAACAAAGTTTGGTGAGCACAACTATCCTTTATGATAGGAATTTAAAACTATTTTAAATTCATGGCTAAACTTATATGGTTTGCATGAAAATAACCCAAAAGAATTTAATGAAAACAATATTTTATATTTTGTTCTATCAGTTAATTATACACATTTTGTATTCTTTCATTTGTCAATTAGTACATTACTACTAGGCCTGTATGGTGTATATTGAGACAGTACTATTAGGCCTGTATGGTGTATATTAAGACAGTACTACTAGGCCTGTATGGTGTATATTGAGACAGTACTACTCGGCATGTATGGTGTATATTGAGACAGTACTATTAGGCCTGTATGGTGTATATTGAGACAGTACTATTAGGTCTGTATGGTGTATATTGAGACAGTGCTATTAGGCCTGTATGGTGTATATTGAGACAGTACTTGAATGTATTTTGAAGGACTTGAGTTTATATCGAAACACTTGCAAATATTTGATTATCCATAACTTCATTTTTTGTTATTCATGTTTTAGGACAGTCAAGGTTCAGGTTCAGTTTCTGGTGCCTTGTCCAGTGCCCATCAAGTAAGTACTGAGAGTTTATTGAGTGGTATTAAAACAACATAGAGTCAATAACATTAATTAAAACAAAATTAATTAACATCTGATAGCGAAGTAAAAGAAATCTTAAACTGTGCATTGATGGTATATAGGTAACTGAGCTATATGAACAGTTTGAAGTTGAACCCATTTAATAATACATAAATGTACAGCAAAAACTGGACACCAATCTTTCTACATACCAAAAATTATTTCCTTATTTTGTTCTGAAAATATTCACCGTCTTAGCAGAAGCAGTTCGAATTATCTGTATGTGTTACTATTTTAGCAGGTTTTTACAGGAAAACTATTTAACCAATACCTTAAAGTCTTACAATGAAGATCTTTTTAGGTCACCTGAGACAAAGTCTCAAGTGACCTATTGCAATCGCCTTTTGTCCGGCGTCGTGCGTCCGTAAACAATTTACATTTTCGACTTCTTCTCCAAAACCCCTGAACCAATTTCAATGAAATTTTGCAGAAACCTTCCATGGCCAATGGTCAACCACAATTGTGAATTATATGGTCCCCAGCTCCCAGGGGCCTGAGGGACGGAGTCAAAAAGGGTCAAATTGACTAAAATTGACTAAAATTTGGTTTACCAAAATGGTGAATTTCATGACCCTGGGGTCTCACGTTTCCCCCTGGGGAAGGGGTAAACTTTACTATAGTTTATATAGGGAAATCACATTTTGGACCACCATTTGTTTAATTTCCATTGGAATTAATTCAAACTTGGTTAGCATAATCAGGAGGGGATAAACTTTACTATACTTTAATTGTGAATTATACGGTCCCCAGCCCCCAGGAGCCTGAGGGGCAGGGCCAAAAAGCATCAAATTGACTAAAATTTCAAAAAATCTTCTCAAGATCCAGATATGGTAGAATCAAATGCTCTTCATAGATGGAAGTTAAGGTGCTTTACCATAATTCAGCTGACTGACAGAACCACTATTTGTACATAGTTCATATACTACCCAGATCTTTCACACTACCTTTGCATTACATTCTGCATATCATCATATAAACATGTACCCTCCTCACACACAATATCTTGGTTTTTCGTGAGTGATAAAATCGAAAAAAGTGTATTTTAGGTTTTTAGCTCACCTGGTCCGAAGGACCATTGTGATCTTATGCCAAACCGCTGCGTCCGTCGTCCGTCGTCCGTCAACTTTTCCTTTAAAACGCTACTAGTCCTGACCGGCTAAGTAGATTTTGACTAAATTTGGTCTGGAGCATCCTTTGGCCAAGGGGACTCAATTTTGTATAAATGGTGGGTGTGGCGCCCCTTGGGGCTGATGGGCGGGGTCAAATAGGGGAAATAGAGGTAAAACCTTCAAAATCCTTCTTCTACCGTAGGGATTACGGGATTTTATCCTAATTTAGTCTTGAGCATCCTTGGGCCAAGGGGACTCAATTTTGTATAAATGGTGGGTGTGGGCCCCCTTGGAGCAGAGGGCCGGGCAGAATAGGGGATATAGAGGAAAAACCTTCAAAATCCTTCTCCTACCCTAGGAATTAAGGAATTTTATCCTTATTAAGTCTGGAGCATCCTTGGGCCAAGGGGACTTGGTTTTGTATAAACCGTGGGTTTGACCCCTAAAGGGCCTGAGGGGCGGGCCCAATAGGGGAACATAGCAAATTATTCTTTAAAATCCTTCCGTAGGAATGAAAGGATTTGGTCCATATTTGGTGTAGAGCATCCTTGTGTAAAGGGAAACCAATTTTGTATAAACGATAGGTCAGGCCCCCCTTGGGGCTAAGGGGCGGGGCCCAATAGGGGAATTATAGCAAATTCTTAAAAATCCTTCCTCTGAAGAAATGAAAGGTTATGTTCTATATTTGGTCTGGAGCATCCTTGGTAAAGGGAAACCAATTTTGTATAAACGATAGGTGAGGCCCCTCTGGGGATGAGGGGCGGGGCCCAATAGGGGAAATATAGCAAATTCTTTAAAATCCTTCTTCTGTAGGAATGAAAGGTTTTGTTCCATATTTAGTCTGAAGCATCTTTTGGTGAAGGGGATCCAATTTTGTATATACTGTGGGTCTGGCCCCCAGGGGCCTGAGGGTTGGGGCCCAATAGGGGAAACATAGCAAATTATTCATTAAAATCGTTCTTCTTCTGTAGGAATGAAAGGATTTGTTCCATATTTGGTGTGGAACAACCTTGGGTAAAGGGAAACCAATTTTGTATCAACAGTGGGTGTGTCCTTCCTGGGACCTGAGGGGCGGGGCCCAATAGGGGAAATAGAGGTAAAACCTTTATATACCATAGGAATTAAGAGATTTTATCCTTATTCAGTCTGGAGCATCCTTGGGCAAAAGAGACCCAATTTCGTATAAACAGCGAGTGTGACCTCCCTGGGGGCAGAAGGGAGGGGTCCAATAGGGGAAATAGAGGTAAAGCTTCGAAATCCGTTTTCTTCTGTAGGAATGACAGGCTTTTGTCCAAATTTGGTATGAAGCATCCTTGAGCCAAGGGGACTCAATTTTGTATAAGCAATGGGTGTGGTCTTCCAGGGGGCTGAAGGGCGGGTCCCAATAGGCGAAATAGAGGTAAAACCTTTAAAATAAGGGATATTTTATCGTTATTTAGTCTGGAGCACCCGTTGGCCAAGGGGGCTCAATTTTGTATAATTGATGGGTATGACCCCCAAGGGGCTTAGGGGTGGGCTCTGTTTGAAGTTTGTTCTTGCTATATCTCTAGTACTGGATGGATCTTTCTGAAATTTCATATGACAGCACCTACCATGGAGTGCTATATCTTTACTTCATACCAATTATTTTAAACATATTCAGGTGAGCGATACAGGCCCTCTGGGAATCTTGTTTTGGTTTCAATGGTTTTTCTTCTAAAATATTGTTTAAAAATACTGCTATATGTATTTACTTTAAGCAATTAAATAATCCTTTTGGGGTATTTCTGAAGCTAAACATTTGTTTTTCAACTGCCTATTATGCTATGCCACATGTGATACATACATTTTTACCTTATTTGATTGAGTAGAGCATGTAGCTTGACTTTGTAACATTCACCTCTGTTACTTTGCTTAAGTTCTTAAATGTGTGTGTATAGTTATATTTATTTTGAAGGGAATAGTATTAGATAGCCTGTGTAAATTGATAGTTCAATGTTGTTTTCAGATCCAGTGGATGTTAATCATTTTGAGAGCTGCTGGCTACCTTGAGGATGTTCCAAACATCCATAACAACAGGGAGGCCTCACTTGCCGGTGGGAGAAGCAGAAGTCATGTATTACCAACAGATGGCGAGTGTGGCCAACTAGATGACATGTTCCAGGAGATGGGGATAGCCACGACATCTTCAATTGTAAGGTGCAGCACTAATGCAGGGAAGATTGTGGTTGGCCATGTGATGTATTTTTTCAGCAATGTCGACAATTCTGGGCAGAGAAACAACATTGCCAGTGTGTATGGTTTGGATTTGCCAGGGAGGACCAGCCATCACAACGCCTTCAAGTGCTTCACCCCTGGTGCATGCCTGGGAGGACAGTGTTTTGTGAACTCCCAGCCTGCAAAACCCACAAACATTATGCCACCCTTCACAGGGTGTCCATTTCCTATATATTCCTGTAAATTCCTATAAATTTAGCAATTCCTTTTTTTTCCCTATATTCTGCTAAAATTCCTATATTTTTAAAAATAAATCACCCATATTGTTCAGAATTTACAGAAATAAGTAGAATTTTGAGAATTAATAGTACTAAAACCATGCATGTACAATATGAAATTCCGTGTAATTGAGTGATGTTCAATAACAATGTGTAGGTTGTAGAAGTTAACTATTAACTATTCCAGAACAACAGCTATTCGATGTACATTGGTCACCTATTTTAATTATGTATTTTTTGTGTCTCAGAAAGAAAGAAAAACATTTCTGTCGTTGCATTTTTAGGTCAGCTAAAACAAAGTCACAGTTGACCTACTGAGATTGCCTTTTGTCTGTTGTCAGGGATTGTCCGTCCATAAGCAAAATTCATATTTTTAACTTTTTCTCCCAAACCACAGAACTGTTATCAATAAAATTTTGCAGGAAGTTCCAATGGCCAAAGACAAACCAAACTTCTGTTTATATGGATCTAACCTATCAAAAGGGGTCAACTTCCTAATGTGCTTTTTCAAAACTAAAGTTCAATCATTACACACGGTTCGCTGTTCCTCCTTGACGGTACAAATGTAAACAAGGTGCTGAACCATTATTAGCTCACCGGGTCCAAAGGACCAAGGTGAGCTCATGCCATACGTCAACAATTTCTTTAAACAACTTCTTCTTCTTAACCACTGATTGGAATTTAACTAAATTTGATTGGACGCATCCCTAGGTGGTGGGGATTTAAAATTGTACAAATGGTTGGGCTGACCCCCCAGGGGACTGAGGATGGAGCCAAAAGGGGGCAATTTGGCTCTATTGCTACAAACGAATTCTTCTGTAGAACAATGCACTGTTCAACAATATTTGACTGGAAGCATTCATGGGAGGCAGGGAATCAAAATTGTACAAATGATGGGGCTGACTTCTCGGTCTAAAGGGTGGGGCAAAAAAAATATTACTTGGAAATGGTTGAGATCTCCACTGTATAACCATATATACAATTGCTGAGTATATCGAGAAGAATGCACATTTTCCAGGATGGCTCTAGAGTCTGGCCCCACCCTTGGAGACATAGTCCCTGGGTCATAACTTTAAACGGTTGAAATCCCCACCCCAGAACTATATATACAAATGCTGGGCATAAAGAGATGAATGCAGTCATGATATTAGAATAGACCATGGGGTCTGACCAAACCCCTAGGGACCTAGTTTCTTAGTCACAGCTTGGAAACAGTTGAGATCCCCTCCCTATAACGACATAAACAATTGCTGAGTATAAAGAGATGAATGCACAAATGCTAGGCAAAAAGAGCAAATGCAGTCATGATATAGAAATGATCCTGGGGTCTGGCCACAACCCTAGGGACCTAGTTTCTGAGTCACAGTTTGGAAACAGTTGATATCCCCACCCCATGACCACACATGCAATTACTGGGCATGAAAAATCGAATACAGATATGCTGCAAGGATTGGCCTTGGGGTCTGGCATATTCCTTTGATCTCATTTGGAGAATATTTTGCCATAATTGTTTAGGTATCCAGGTGAGCAATACAGGCCTTCTGGGCCTCTTGTTTATGTTTTAGAGGTCAAAGGCAGCTTAATTGGACTTGATTTTTAACCAGTTTTTTGTGCGTTATTAGATCACATACAACACTAATTTGCAGTTGGTTATTGCACGTATAAGTTTGAGACATTTACATGGTGGTGAGCAATGTGCGGAACCATTATTAATATTCTAGGAGCGAAAAAACATGCTTTAAAATCAATTCGGTGTGGAACATTTTATGTTGTTGTGAACCTTTCAAAGAATTCATTTACTATACATTAATTTCAAAGCTCTTTTAATTCATTGTAATAATTTTTGCAAATGGTATTTGAGGTTGATGAGTTGTGACATACCTATTTGACGATGCTGTTGGCATTTTGTTGTTTGTGTTGATGATGATGATGATGATGATGATGATGATGATGATGATGATGACAATGATGACAATTGTGACATTATAAAACTAGGCTTATTAAACCAATAAGCTGTAATGCTTGCAGAATAAAATAAACTGAATCTGATATTGTCTGAACCGAGTATATATTGAAATAATTATTGATGACATCACAATACAACCGGTTGTTTATGACATCTGCCATTGTTAATGATGTAACTATACATATACATTATAAATGTGTTTAGTAGTTCAGGGGTAGAAATATACTATAATTTTGTCCTGAAAACCCCACTTCTACGGACAGGTTATTTTGTTGGTATGATGTGACCAGGTGAAGTGGTATGCTACCTTGTCCAGGTGATGGCATTTTCGCAAGAGGAAACTTATTATATTGAAGTGACTCACCCATCTGTGGACAACGTCTTACGGAAACGGCTGTTGGACAGTTCGAAAAATATTTTCCATCATTCATTTCACTTTACAATACATTTGAGAAACATACATGGCAAAACAGACAATTTAGAACTAAAAATAGTAGGTAAATTGTCATTATGACAAATCCACAGTAAAGCCTTGTCTGTTCTTGTTGATAGAATCAACAGCAAACAAGAAATAAACATTGGAATTCACTGCCAATTCATAAATCTTTTCAAACACAACCAATCGTTTTAACCTTGGATGCACAAAGTAAAGTGCTTTGATCGTCCACATGTTGAAAATGCCTAAAAGGTTGTGTATCAACCTGAAATTTGGTCAATGAACAGTAGTACTGAACAAGTAACAGTTAACAGATAACAATGAAGTGCGGAAATGGGGTTATTGTCTATTAATGTCCGATTGAAAGTCAACAACGTCGCCGATATCTTAGACCACTGTCACGAGAGTAGCGGCATGCACAGGGACCTGCTATTTTGTTACATCTATATTTGGACCTAACCCAATGTGTTAAGAGTAATTTGACATGTTTTAGAATCTGTGGCCGATATACAGGTAATAAAACACAAATCATCATTTAAGAGGTCTGTATTTATTGTCAATACAATGCATTATTTAGAATCTATCGGTATTATATCATTTGAAATATGGAATTAGAATTAACTTAGTGAATAGTCGTGTTAAATGTATAATGATAAATGGAACGTTGTCGTATACAGGAAACATTAGCTCAGAAGAGATATTCTTACTTTGGTATCAACACATTTTATTGCATTTACAAAAGGATTAGACAACAGGCAATGCCTATATTAGTCTTTTCTTCTTACGACAATACATGAAAGTGAAAGTTACATTTAATTACAATTATATTCATACATATAATTATGTTAAATACAATTGAAATTATAAGCTCAGAGGACAGGCGATCGGGAATCTCCTTGCGAGCAGGATTACATAAATCACAAAACTAACAAAATTAACAAGAGGCCCAAAGTACCTGTATCACTCACCTGTTTCTTTTGTTACTTGAAACTGACGTATAGGTAACTTTAGCTTTAACTAGAACAGAAGACATTTTAATATCTCTTAAACGGTTCTGAAGATGTTGTTTGAAATTTGAAATTTTAGTTTGAAAGCTTTTGACCTTTGACTCCGGGTAGCACTTAAGTTGCCATTTGACCTCATTACTGTAATAAAAAAAACACGGTTCAAACAGCTGGTCTACAAAACATAACCAAGTATCATAACTTTAGACCAAATGGTTCCTAAGATATTGTTGTTTGAAATTTTTAACATATTTGACCCTTGTAACCTTGAAATTAGGTCAAGGTCATTTTAATGAGGGAACTGTATAGCACACCAGCTGGTCAAATAGTATGACCCTGGGCCTTATGGAACTTGAGAAGAAGATTGTTAAATATTTTTACCCACGTTGACCTTTGATCCCCAACTAGCATTTAAAGTTGACCTTTGTCCGCATTACTGTAATAGAGAAAAAGATTCACACAGCTGGTCTACATAGCATACCCAAGTATCATGACTAGTCCAAATGGTTCTCAGGATATTGTTGTTTGAAGTTTTTAACATATTTGACCCCTGTGACCTTGAAATTAGGTCAAGGACATTTTAATGAGAAAACTGTATAGCACTCCATTCCAGGTACCAAATAGCCAAATAACATTACCCTGAGCCTTATGGAACTTGAAAAGAAGATTGTTAAAGCTTTTAACCCATGTTGACGTTTGACCCCAGACTAGCACTTAAAGTTGACCTTTGACCTCATTACTGTAAGAAAGAAAAGATATACACAGCTGGTCTACATAAAATACCCAAGTATCTTGACTCTAGTCCAAATGGTTCTTAGGATATTGTTGTTTGAAGTTTTTACTTTAGATGACCCCTGCGACCTTGAAATTAGGTCTAGGTCATTTTAGTGAGTAAACTTCATAGCACTCCATCCCAGGTTCCAAATGGCCAAATATCATGACACTTGGCCTCATGGAACTTGAAAAGAAGATTGTTTAAGAGTTAAACTCATGTTGATGTTTGACCTCCAACGGACTAGCATTTAAAGTATACCCAAGTATTGTAATGGAAAGCGAAAGTAGATCCAGGCGGAAAGAGTCTTGCTACAATTACATCCACGTAAAACGTGATGGAGATACGGATGGATCCGATCACGTGGGTTACAGAGGGTATAAATACAGGTGAGCTGAGCCGGCCAGGCAGATTGAGACCGATCACAGTGTGATACAGACCAAGCTAACAACGGTAGGTTTATATATGAAGCCAACTAAAGCTAGGTAATATATATGCCCAAATAGCGTGTAGATATATTAAAGGCCTGAATAAGGCCATACAATATCAACACCGATAGACATTGTCAGCGGATGGTGGTCTGTGAGACATGCACGTTGGCTACCACTACTTACGGTGATAGGTAGGTGATCGGTGGAGCGGTGTTAGTGTAGGTGGCGGTCTGGTGTACAGGTAACATACACGGCACT